GATTGTGAGCATGGCGCAGGACCAGGCAGTGTTTTGTTCTGTGGTACAGAGGGTAGCTATCAGTTCGAACCGACTTGACGGCACCTAAGAACAACAACAACCAAGGTTCTATCCCTGATCTAGGTTTAGTAAACTCATACAATTCCATGATTTCAACTATCTTCAAGATGCTAATAACTCCTAGTTCTCTATCTCCAGGTCTATGTCTTTTCTGAACTTTGTTCCTGACGTTCTACCTAGTTCCTGGATATCTCCCCTTAAAGAATCTCAATGCACCATATGTCAATAAATTTGGGGGAAGGGGGGGAGGTGAAACCAACAAACTGATTATCTTCCTCTCCTCTAAAAATCTCCTACTCCCAATATCCTTGTCTAAATGAATGTCACCATTCATCCCATAAGTGATGCAAAAAGTTTGGGGATAACTATTTGTAATTACGGATGAATCTACTCAATTATTTCTAAGTATGACTCCAATGCTGATCTCAAGTACTTCTTAAGGTAGAAGCTGAGACATAATAATTTCAACATGACGTGATTAGTTCTGTGTTAGATATACATTCACAACATTACTAATGTATAGCAGTAGGGTCTAATTTTGGTTGAATGGATCAGGGAGAGCTTCTTGGAGGAGGTGGCATCTTTAAATGTTTATAAATGAATTCACCAGGTAGACAAAGCCCAAGGTTGAAGGTAGAGGTTAATTCTACCTATGAAACAGCCCTGAATCTTTCTTGTTACTACTCTAATTATTATTGCTGTAGTCAAGGTTGTGCCTTACCATGTTATGTTACTGTGTGATCCTGGAAAAGTTGCCTGCCCTACCTGAGTCTCAGCCTCCTCATTTTTGAAACAGGGATAATAATACCTACCTCACACAGTGAAAATAGTCCTTCATACATGGCTAATTCATGTTTTCTTTCATTATAAAGGGTTCTTCCATTCCATCTTTGTATATTTTGTTTCACTTCTGTCTCCTTATTGGGGCAGACCAATTATTCAACATTTGACTTCTGTTGTCTATCCTCCACATAGACAACATCTCCTGAACAGAAGACTTCAAAGGGCAGATCAAGATGACAAAGTAAAGTATTACACTGAAATGTGCGAAGACCTGGAGTTAGAAAACCAAAAGTGAAGAACACGCTCGGCATTTCTCAAGCTGAAAGAACTGAAGAAAAAATTCAAATATCAAGTTGCAATACTGAAGGATTCTATGGGGAAAATATTAAATGACACAGGAAGCATCAAAAGAAAATGGAAGGATACACAGAGGCACTGTAACAAAAAGAAGTGGTCCACATTCAGCCATTTCAGGAAGTAGCATATGATCACGAACCCACAGTACTGAAGGAAGACGTCCCAACTGCACGGAAGGTACTGGCGAAAAATAAGCCTCCAGGAAGTGACAGAATACCAACTGAGATGTTTCAACAAACAGATACAATGCTGGAGGTGCTCACTCGTCTATGCCAAGAAATTTGGAAGACAGCTACATGGCCAAC